CTGAATCGAAATACAAGAGTAATGAGTCCATTTAAGTGCTAAAGTAATGTAAAAAGATGAAAATTAGGGGATAAAAATAGGGTTCTTTTTAGTCTCATCACATTTAATCATTAATAAAGTAAAATAAATAAAATAGAACAATAACAAATAATGTAGAAAAAATAATTATTTTATTAAGTAATTAGCAATTATTATTATTATTTGCTAAAAATATTAATATAATTAATCCAAATTACTAAATTACTAAAACATTTTTGTAATAAATTTTTAAAATAAAGATTTAATTATTTTAAACAATACCACATTCTTTCCTTAGTTAGAAATATTGGTTATTTCACTTTCCTTGATAAGTCCCGTGCATCGCACGGGTTCCCGCTAGTGGTTTGATAGAAAATAAGAGGAAAAGAGAAAGTCAAGAGAACATTCTCGAGGAATTTTACAAAATTCACAAAAGAATTTTCCCTCAACTTTCTGTGTCTCTCTTATTTTCTATCAAACCAAAACATTGCCTAAGTCCCTCCGTAGAGGAATCCTTATCTAACAATAACCAAAGATCAAAATCTTTATGGCTTCCATTAAAAGTTAGAATTCCAAGAAAGAATTTCTTAAGAAACAGAGGGATAAGCATGGATATCAAATGCCAAATTTGCGGAGAATGCATCGAGGGCATCAATCATCTTTTGGTTGGCTAATGCTATATAACAAGAAAATGTTGATGAGGAAGAAGATAAGTTAGAGCACATAGAATATTTTTGGAAAAAAATGTTCGTCTCATAAGGAAGCATATGGAAAAGCAAGAATGGAAATTTTTTTAAAACGAACCATTTCAATCAAAAATTATTGAACAAATGTGGAGTATGACGAAAGATTACATGTTGGATAAAATAGAAAGGCAATCCACTAGACAAGGTAGATAACCTATTTGCATCAAATGGAAGACTTCAAGAGTCAAAGTCAAAATGAAAAAACAGAAAAAGTTAATCAGCTTTGATGCATTTATGACTTGGGCAATGGTCATGCAACAAATCTTGTGCATCTCAAGAAATCAAAAGGACAAACAAAAGTATCAACGTGGTAGAAGCAAGGGCAACAAGTGCAGTTCATTTAGGCTCAGTTTGGAAGGAGTACAAATGCAAATATGTAGAGTGCAAAACCTTATACTTTGCATTATTTTGAATGTATTTGTGTAGTACATATTTGCATTTTACTCCTTCTAAACTGAGCATTAATGGCAAAAGAACAAAGGATTCTGCATATTGAAGGAAACTCAGAACTAGTGATTGACAGCCTAAATAATTACCATCAAATTATAAAAAAAAAAGAAAAAAAAAATTCTATCAAGCTACATACTTACGTGCTTCAAAAGAAACAAACCAAGAAGCACACTGACTATGATTGAAAAACATTTGAAAGTTGAACCTTATATTATTTAAATAGAATGGCATTGCTTAGAAGGATTTTTTGTGTTGTGACACCCCATGTTTGTGTAGCACCTTCCTTATATTAGTAAAAAAAATGCGAAGTCATCAATTCTCCACTCCGCAAGTGACAACCTTAGGCAAATAACATTATTTATCAAGGTTAAAGAGGATGCTAGGTTGATCATGGATCAAGTAAATGAATCAATTAATAGGAGACAACAAGGATATTTCAAGCATGACCCCTACAAGGTTCCAAGGCAAATTGAATCAAATAATAGGAGACAACAAGGATATTTAAAGCATGACACCTACAAGGTTCAAAGGCAAATTGATTCCAAATGAATGGCTTGAGTTAACTATCCATACTTTTAAACCTCTAATTTTTTAGTTAAGGTTGCATTTGGGTTAGCTTTAGGATTTTTTTTCAAAGCCCAAAATCACAAAATCCCAATTTTACGCTTTGTTTCTCACAAGCCCAAAAGCAACTGTTGCAAACAATTGAAACACTTTTTTGGTTCACTTTTGTTTCCGACAAACCAAAAGTTCAAAAGCAAAAGCTTACCTAAAAAGAACATAAGGTACTTATCCTTTCACATAACCATCTGCCAGCAAGTGTTTAAAAACTGAGAAGAGACAATGATGGAGAGAGAAAACTAGATATAACCAAAATTTCAAAAGATGGATTACAATTAGGGGTGAGCATTATTCGGTTAAAACCAAAATACCAATAAAAATTTTGATTTTGGTCTTTTTGGTTTTTGGGTAATTCGGTTTGGTTAATTCAGTTTTTAAGAATTTCAATTTTCAGCTTTGGTTTTCAGAGTTAGAAATCCGGTTAACCGAAAAAACCTAATTAACTGAAATTCATTATATAATATATAGCATTTAACAATATGCTATATATTTATACACTAATATATTATACATAATGTATTATAATGAAATTCAATTTCATAATATATATTATAATATATATATATATATATTATAGGTCATAATATATGTTAATGAAATTCAATTTTTAATCGAAATAATCAAAATTTTCGGTTTTGATTATTTCAGTTTTCTTGTAATTTGGTTTCGGTTTTTAAAATTTTGATTTATTTGGTTCAGTTTTTAACCGAATAAATCAAATGCTCACCCCTAATTAGAATATATTATTTTAAGAATTATGATAGACATTGTCTTTATATCCAACAAAAAAAGGAACACACAATATGCATTCAAGTTTCATAAAGGAAAAGTTTAATGGGAAATTTTCTTAAAATGCAGACATGCATCTTGCTTTAGCCTTTTTTTTTTCAAATCGATTACGTGCTATTTAACACAAAAAATGCAGCCATGCATTCAAGTTTCTTGGAAAATCTTCTTAAAGTAGGCATGCATCATGCTTCAAGCACAAGGGTGTAACATTAATTTGCAAAATCAATAAACTTTAGAAGCTATATAGATATCCAGAATTTTAATAATATTTTGGGAAAAGATTAAACGTCCAAGACTATTCTTTCAAAGAAACCAACACTTTATCTCTGACACAGATTTCATTCTCTGGTATCCAATCCTGCCTGCTCCTCAACTATTTGTGTTAATATCACCTTCCTTGTTGGGTCAGGCTTTCATCCTTCATTTCCATTATCTCTTTATTCATCTCACTATCGTATGTATCCGCAACATTATCAATACTGATGCCAAGAGTCCTGTACAAGATACCAAATGTTACCACAGATTAAAGGGTTTTCCACTACAATCATCTGGGTCCTTTGAAAACTTAATAAAAAGAAATCAACACATGGAAACAATAGGTCTTACATCTTAAAAAGGTCATTACCCAATGATGGTTAGGGATGCAACTCGATTTGGTGCGAGTAAGCATTTTACACTGTTTAAGGCTCAGACTTCAGGCTGGGACCATTCAAAATTTGACAAAAACCCAACCTGAGCCCATGTAAGTTACAACCCTAATGATGGCCTAGGTTATTTGGGGTCTTGGAATAGAAATCACTTTGGCTGTTTGAAAAAAAAAATATTGAGTATAAATACTATTTTACTTGCAGTCATTATAAGATGTCATTCACATTTTCTCGAGCAAAATAATATGAACCTAACCTACAACATTTTTATGAACAGTCAAAGTTTTTTCCTTGGGATAGAAAAATAGATATGAACCCAACCTACAACATTTTTTCGAGCAAAGCAATGGCCACTAAACAATAGGTTACTACATCTACGAGGGCATATTTAGATACACCCATACACACATATCTAATATAAAATGAAGAGGGCTGGGAATACAAGCATGTTCATCTTTCCTGTTTATATCAAATGTGAATCATCACTAACAAGATATACACAAAAACAAAGTGTAAAGTGTGGAAAAAGTTTCCAAACACAATAGATAAGATAGTGAGATTACCTATCATCATTTGGGAGCCTTTCTTCTAGTTCATCTTCAATAGCATGTTCTTGGCTAATCATTTCAATATTCTTCTCAGACTGCCCATCTTGGTTTACCCCAAAAAGAATGTTCTCCTGTTCAATGGCTTGCTTCTTTTTCTTTTTCTTCTTCGTCTCAGTGTTGACAATGCAATCCTTATTGGAAGACAGCTGGGAATCACAAGCTTGTTCACATGCACTGTTTACATCAAATGTGAAACATTACTCACAAGATATACACAAAAAACCAAGTTTGAATAAGGAGAGAATGAGATTACCCATCATCATTTGGGGGCCTTTCTTGCAATTCATCTTTAACAACAGATTTTTGGCTAATCATTTTAATATTTTTCCCCATTGGTCCATCTTGATTTTCCCCATAAAAAATATTCTCTTTCCGTTCAATGGCTTGCTGCTTCTTTTTCTTTTTCTTCTTTGTCTCAACATTGCCATTGCCATCCTTGTTGGATCTCAACTGAGAATCACGAACTTGTTCATTTGCCCTATTTATATCAAATGTGAAACATTGCAAATAAAGCAGTTAAACAATCTTACTTGGTGTAACCGTGTAAAAACACAAAATTAAGAGAAGAGATCAATTACAAATAGAGAATAAAAATAGGAAAAAAAGGTCTCTAACTTGGTAACATTTGAACTTTGATGCAGCTCACTTGCAATGGCAAGCTCTTGATTAATGATTTCCATCCTCGTCTTGGACTGCCCATCTTGGTTTACCCCAACATCAGAAGCTATCACTTCTTTCTCAATTCTTTTCTTTTTTTTCCTTTGTTCTGTCCCTATGTTTCTGTTATTAGAATACTTATTAGACGGTATCAAAAATTCAACATGCTTGTTATCTTTCCTGCTTTAATCAAATGATATACAAACAAGGACGGACCAACTATCATAAATATTAAGTACATAAATAACAAATTGAAAATGATGAGACAGGTTCTCTTCAAAACAGACCATAGAAAAGAGAAGTTCTTACTCATTAGTGGGCTTCTCACACAATTCATATCCAATAGCATGCTCTTGGTCCATGGTTTTAACCTTTGTTTCCAATTGCTCATCTCGATTTATTCCATCATCAAGAATATTCTCTTCCTTTTGAGCAAGTTGTTTCTTCTTCTTTCTCTTCTTCTCTTGCTCATTGTTAGTACCATGGTTGTTAGAAGGTAATGGGAAATCAAAAGAGTGCTCATTTCCTCTGTTTCAATCAAATGAAAGCCATTACCACCATTAAGAATAGAAACATACATATATGGATTCAAATTATATACACACACACACGAAAATGAACACAATCGAACTATCCTACTTCTCTTCCTGCTTAGCGGCATGTTTCTTGTTTTGTTTTCTCTTTGCTGCCACTTTTTTTCCATTGCTATCCTTGTCAAATTGTTGCAAGGAGCCACGGTTCTTGTCACTTCCCCTGCTTGGATCAAACAAGACACATTAGTATCAGATAAGATATAAATATGTTTAAACATACAACGGCTGGGAAAGTAATCATTTAAAATAAAAAGAAAAAATGGTCATACTTATCACCACCGGGATGCACATCATGGAACTGATTTTCAATATCAATCTCTTTATTCATGTTTTTAATGTTTAAATCAGCCTGCACATCTTGCATTAGCCCTTCAAAAAGGGCATTCTCTTCCTGTTGGATGGCATCTTTCTTCTTCATTTTCCTTTTCTTCTCTGTCACTCCGTTGTTACCATCTTCAAGACCAATCTCTTTATCCATTGTCTCAAGCACCCCATCAGGCTTTGCTCGTCCATTAAGACTATTGTCTTTCTCTTCATCCATTCGTCTCTTCTTTTTCTTCGGAGTCTCACTTTTATTATTCTTGTCATCATTAGATGGTAATGATAAATCACAACCACGGTCACTTCCACTACATAGATCATATAAGAAAAATGTGGACATGCATAAATATATTTATTAATAAAAAAAAAGGAACAATGACAAACAAAATTGTTGCATTCAAATCCCTCACCTTTTTCCTTCAGGAATATCAATGGTCCTTTTAGAGCAAGTATCATGATGAGCATCTTCATCAACCTTCTGTCCGCCTTTTTCTTCGCTGATTCTGGATGACTTTTCAACTAGAGTTACATTTGCTTCAACATATTTTACATCCTTTGTGCTTTTGAACAAGGAAGAAATGGGTAACTTATCCTCCTCATTGGCATTCAAAATCAAATGCTTTTTAATTTCTTTGACGGCAATTGATTGTTCAGCAGGTTCATCATCCTCATCCGATTCACTGACTATATATTTTTTCTTAAGATGCTTTCGTCTAAAATCAACACCTTTTTTGCATTCAAGGTTAAAACTTGGTGTCAAGCGGATCTCATCATCACCTAAATATTAAACAAAATACAATACTGCATTAAATACATATAAAACATTTTACCTAGAGAATAAGTATATAGTTAGAATTTTGGTAATAATTAAAAACAATCATAAATAAAATTCAAGATATATGAACTTCCAATTTATCCCAAAAAACTAATTTTCCTGACATCATTGGTGGCCACTTACAGCATGTCTAACAATCTCCCATGGTAGCAATGAGAGAGGTATTTAATGCTGCATTTGGTTGCAGCACAAATTTCGTTTGCACTAGAGTAAATGCATGGCAGTGCAAATACGGTTAGTGTAAACACCGGTTTACTTTGCCTTCAGATTTGACTTTTTCTTGTTTGTTTGTGAAAAGTTAAATACAAGGTAAAATGGTCTGATCTCACCTTATATGTAAGAAAATGGGGGTAAGGGGAGGTTTATTTGCTTAGGAGTGAGGTAGGAAGCAACATGGTGCAGTCCCGGCCACTTTATATGAAAGAGAATTGAAGTGGGAGTAAGGAGTTGAAATCAGCTCCCCACAACGTCCCACAATATATCCTCGTCATGTATTATCAATATCTCCCGATGATAATATTAAGAATAATGATGTCATCATTGGGAGATGTTCCCAATATACGGAGGAGATGTGCTGTGGAACGTTGTAGGGGGCAGTCTTGTGGGGGGCTGATTCAGTCTCGGGATTAAGATGATGGAAATTTTGCAAAAGTTTTTGAAATGCAAAATGTGCACTGCTAGTTAGTATAAATGATACCAGAAATACAAATTTTGTATTAGGTATGAGTGCAATTAATGATTACAAACAAGTTGGTGCAAAACTGAACTGAGTGAAAATTTGTTTCTGATTCAAATTTGCATTGCAACCAAACACAACCGAAAGTGAAGCTTCTGGTCAGAAATTGCCTATTTTTTTCTCTTTTAGGAGGCGAAAAATTACCTTAGCGTACATATACATGGTTACATGGCTTCATGAATTTTCTCTTAATTATTGCATAAAATACTTAAATAAGTTGATATATTAACTACTTTATATATATATATATTAAATTCAATCATAATGAATTTAGGTTACATGTTTCAAACGCTGATATCTCAACTTGTTATTTATACAAATATTTAACCAAAATTCCCTCTGCTTATTATAATTTATAGATATAGTATAGTTCACCTTATTGTGTATTATTTAGTTACATATTTTCTATGTTGCATAAATATTAAGTGTTTGATTATTTAAGTAGTAGGGCTGCAAGTCAGGTTGCCCGACCTGAAGAAGTTTAACTACATTAGGTTTGGGTTAAATAATGCAAATTGAGTTGTATATTTTCACATCACAATAGAACTGTATTTTAATTAGCAAGAATCTCCAAAGTTATATGGGGCACCACTGATTAGGTGAATGTCACCATCCAATATGTAAATTTTTGCTTAACCATTTGCTAGATTTTCCTCATATCTCATCTTTCAAGTGAATTATACCTTGTATAGCTTTTGAACTCAAGGATCTATCACAACTACAGAAACTAGATCTAAAAGTACCCATTAACCACATTTACTAAAAATATATGTGGATATGTATTTAAATAATGAACATAGAGCCATTCATGCGTTCCATATGTTTTCTTAATATTACAAAATATCACCTACGTACTTATAAAATACATAAGTTCCAGAATGCATACCCTTATTCCTAGATGGAAGGCAAAACTCAGGGTCACTATCATTGATGAAACTATCATCAAAGTCATAGTCGTCGTCCTCTGAGTTTGATTGTTCATTCTCAGTATCAACAATATCTTCTCCATATGAATCTCTTTAATCATGGTTAAGGAATTCATGGACATATCAATATAAAACATCATATTTTACATCAATAATAAAACCTATGGCTGAAACGTACTTCTTTCTATGTATACTAATCTACTTCAGTTATTTCCTTATCAGAGACAACAAATTTCTTAAGTACAATAAGAAAACTATGTAGGGATTAATCAATAATCACGTCATATTAATAACAAAAAAATTGAAGTTATAAAAAAACAACATAGTACGGGAAAACGTTATAAAGATCAAGAACGTTTGAATACAATAGTATCTTCTAAATCTTAATGAAACAAAACTAGATAGAAGGATACGTATCATCATCATATCTTCTTATTGAATGGTGGCGGTTGGGATTGATATAATAACCACTTAAATAAACACTACGGGCACCAATAACTGAAAAGACTACTTCTTCATTCTCTTCATCGAATTCAAGATCCAATTTACACGTCTCCATCCTATCAGGCAACAGAGAACATAACAGAATCGGCCGTGTATTCCCAACATTACACTGAACTACACTTTTCTTTGGTGAAAGAGGATTGGAATATGACATTGTTGCCTGCAACCATACAGCATGTATTTCTCATGTCAAATGAAAAGAAGAATCTTCTATAAAAGACATCACCCACAACCAATATAAAATAGATCGAATTGAAAATAAAAAAGATAAATTAAAATCATCTCCTAGGCTTCCAAATAAACCTGGGTAATTTTAAGCCTTCCACGATTGTACCGATGAGTGTATGGTTTGCCTGGCTTCACTTCAATCCCTGGAATAAAACAGATTGAGTAGGGATTTAGCCAAACGCAAAAATATATCTATAGACACAACTTTTTTTCTCAATTTTCGTAAGGAACTTACCCCAAAATGCCATTTTGTCTCTTCTTTTCAACCACAATATTGGTCACAACTTGTATCTCTAACAACTTCAAACAACAAGTAAACCAAATAAAAGACCATTTTAACAATCTTTATTTTTATAAAAAGAAGAAAACTCATTAGTAACCAATTAACCATAAATGAAAAATTATGCATAGGGCACATTGGTAGAATCAACTGATGGGTAACAAGATATCATGGCTGGTTTACAATTTGAAATCCAATATTATGTTTGACCAAAGACATGAAGAGTAAAGAAGAAACAAGAATATAAATATCAAAAAGCACATGAAACAGTTTAATAAAAAGATTTGAAAGAGAGCCTTGGGGGATAGCTTTGGACATGCAACCAATGCTTTAGACATTTGGTTCTTGATATTTATTTACAGTGGTAATCGAAACCAAGGCGACTGAAGCTGAACCCATTACAAGAAAGAAAGCCTACCTCCCCTCTCTTGTGTTCTTTAAAGTTTGTAAGGGAGTTAGGAGTTTTTTTTTCTTTTTTTTTTTGGGGGGGGGAGGGGGGAATGGAGATTTCTTTGCTGGCTTTCTATTGTTTTTCTTATTTTATATGGAAGGTAAGGAACGCTTGTATTTTAGAGGGTTGGTTCCTAAAATCAGTAGATGTATCCATAATGTTAAGTTTGATTTTGAGGAATGCTTAAGTCTAGGAAGAATAAGGGATTATGTTTTTTTTCTAATTTGGATGTCGGTGATATTGGCAGGTTAGTGCTAATGGAGATCCAAATTCAGTTATGATTTTTTGTGGTCCTTTTGGGTTTGTATGTTTGTCTAATACTGGTAAGTTTTTGGCTACTGTAGGTGGACCATGTGTAATTAAGGAGTTCTAGAAACTGAGATGAATGCTATTCAGGCGGGGCCCTTTTGTAAATAGTTTGAACAATAAGGGGTCTAGTGTCTAGTGGTCTTTACTGTCTACTGTTGATCAGATTTTGCCTTATGCTAAGGAGTTGGGAGGGGTAAATTTCTGTTTTGTTAATAAGGAAGTCAATTTAAATCATTTGATGGCCAAGGAGGTTAAATCTTCTATGGGGAAAAGGATGTGGCTTGATGAGCCCCCTCCTTTCTGAACTGCTTGAATGTTTCTGATTTTGTTTAGTGTATTGGTATTTTTTTCTATAAAAAAAAAAGACATTACATTGAGCTATATTCAATGAATTCGCCTTATAAGGATTCAGGGAAAAAAATGATTCAACCTTTCTTAAATACCTGAAACTACGTCTATGGCTGATTTATGCAACTCGTTTCACTCTTCTTTTATAACTCTATATTTTCTGCACTAGGGTTACCATTTTCTTGTCTCCAGCAAAGCAGAAGAGAGCACGGAATGGAAGAGACAGTATACCATCTTCCTCAACTGGTTAACGCTTGAGAAAGAGAGGAAGTGAGTTAATATACTGGTTTACTTGAAACTACATCCCATATTCCATCTTTCAGTCAGAGATACAAATAAAAAAGAATTGCAGTATTGTTAAAGAACATAGAAAAAAGCATCATCACGTTGGAGAGAGAGAGAGAGGCCAACTTGATTGATTAATTAAATGGACGAAGGAACAAGAACTGATGAGTAAACCCTCAATCATGGTACCCCTTTTAATCAGCATAAGAACCCAAGTAAACCAAAGACAATAAAAATGGATGTGGAAAGAACTATAATGAATTAAAATAGAAGAAAAACAAGGATTCAAACAATAAAGTGAACACAGAATGTTAAACTACAGAGAACAATTTACATATCACCGACTCTGTGTGTGATCCTCTTGATACCCACCCAGCAACTGGTTAGAGAGGGAGTGAGACGCTTCCGACGGCCAACCTCAAAATCCACTGAGTTGATGTAAGTGATAACTGACGTGCCTTGGAGTGATTTTTAATAGTAGTACAGTCGAATTGAGTATGGAAGGAAGATGATACACACTTACCAAAAACAAAGGATACGAATGACGCACGGCACGATGTCAAAGGATCGGGTTTGGATCAACCCATCACCAACTAACTTGGCCCTACCCAACTAAAGAAATGTTTCATTGCTGCAATATAAACGGGTCGTATTTAGTATGCATCCACCTTAACCCGAACAGTGAATTGAAATTGGTAATTGGTCTAATTATCTCGCTTCTCACAATGAAAAAGGTAGAAATTAAATAAACGAAAAAGGAAATTGCTCAAACTTTCCTAAAAGGTTGCAAATTAATTTTATAAACATAAAAAGTTCCTTGTTTAGATTAGAGTCCTCGCAGTTACCAAAAAAAAAAGATTGAGTCCTCGCAAACTTTATCGGATGTCTCGGAAGAGTCCTCGCAAACTTTATCGGATGTCTCGGAAGACAGATTTCTAAATATCACTGTTTTACTGCCTGCCAAATCATTGCTTCAAATTAATACTTCCCCTTTTTTCCCAACATCGTCATCTACAGTGTTTTCAACCCGCCGATGATCTGGCCAATGGTTTTTGAACCGCTGTTGACCCGGACGGTTGGACCGTTCAGCCAGGATCGTCTAGGCAACCAATTCCATTTTACCCTAAACTCAGTTCCTAGCCAAAAACGGATGAATCAGTCAATAACACGTTGACCTAGGCTGTCGAACCATCGACCCCGTTCAATGGTTTTTGGTCATTTTTATTTTTAATTCTTTTTTTATTTTTTTAATTTTTGTTATCAGAATGGGCCGTTCATTTGAACCGGATGGCCGAACCATTAACCCAGAAACTAGTGGCCAGAATAATTCCGTTTCCGGGTCATTTTTTAAAACCATGATCTGGCCGACTGAGTAGTTTGAATCATCATTCTGCCATGATTTTGGATTCTGTTTTAAAACTTTGATTTTTTTTTAACTGTTGACCAGGTAAGAAACCATTCAACTCAATGAGTCGGACCCTTATTCATTTCACTCGGTGACCAAGTCGGGTTGCACACTAAACATGTATGCAAACTTTGTGAAAAAACCATTTTTTTTACCTCAAATCACAAATTTTAATATTTTCTACAAATAAAAAGTTAAGAACTGAATTAAAAATATAAAATAATGCATATATTACATGTAAAATATAATTACACATTATTTATTGATAAAATGTGTTTATATACACGATATTATCTATCTATCTATCTATCTATCTATCTATCTATATATATATATATATATATATATATATATATATAGTAAGTGTGCACATGCTTTGCACGTGGCAATTCTAGATGATAATAATTATAGTAATAATATATCCAAAATTTTCTATAAACTTTATATATTTTATTTTCTACTTTTATATTTCTTTTGTTTTTATTATTAATCAAATGTAGATTGCAAAATTCAAATTTGATTACATAAACACCTCATCCAAATTTGTGATAATCAGATCGAATTGTGAAGTTTCAAGTATCACTGACAGGCCTACCTGATTGGCTAGACTCTTCTTTTCATAGTGTTTTATCTTTTTGGTTTATCTATTTTCTTTCGTTCATTTATCAAAAAAATGTAAGATTTATATAGAGGGAATTGAATGAGGTAAAGAGTAGTAGTTCAATTTACAATCTAAACCTTACAGTTAAATAGGGACTAAATTCAAAAATGAGTATTTTAGTCACTGTTTTAAAAACCAGACCAGATCAGACGGTCGAACCATTTGGCCTGGGAACCGGTTAGGTCACTAGTTTTGTTTTGGCCCTGAACTGCTATATTACAAAACACTATCGAAATGGTTAAAGAGCCATTGACTCGGATGGTTTAACTATTTAAATGTTCAACCTGATTAATGGTTCTTAAGTTGCTTTCAAAATTCAAACTAATTCCAAATTTTTTATTTATTTTAAAATAGAAATTGGAAAATCAAAAAATCAAAAAAAAACTTTCATATGTCATAATCTTGTTCGATTATTCCCAATGCCCAAAATTAGTTAGGGCTTTTTAGTTTTTCCATTTTGATTTTGAATTTTCTCATTTTTATGATTCTTTTTAAGTTGTAACAACAAAATAAAAAAAAAAAATTGCAACTCCAATGAAGAAATCAAAAAATCAATGCAAGATTTTAATATAAGATAAAACACCTGTAAGTAAGGTGGTAGCTTGGCTAAGGGTGATGGTCTCCTTAAAAGACAGAGGAAGACCCGACGATGAGGAATCAAACGGAAGGTTGAGGTGAAGAGTGTGAAGAGACGGCTAAGCAGGGAATCCAATGATAGGGCTAATCAATGACTAGATGAATCCTTTTCGTTATGGGAAGGATCTCTATTTATAGGGAAGATCCCGAGATCCTGAAAAGAAGGAACCAAAGGCGTTTGTCTTCTACTAGGAAAGTGAATATTGGATTCGTTATCAATCGTTCAGGGCATTACTGGGGTTTCGCCACGTGTCCATATGGGGATCTTTCCAAGGATTGACTTTCCTTTCACTTGGAAATCCTCATAGCCCATGTGTGCTACTACCCTTTTGCACCTCACTATTTGGCGGGCAAGGTCTTATTAGACCTGCATGGTGCCATGTCACGTTCCCCACATCGATATTACATGTGTAGCTAATACCCGAGCCCGGTTCTTAACGAATCAGAATCCCGTAACGGTTTTATGGTTCATTGCAGGGCCAGGTACGCATGAGACCTCATCGCAGGTTTGTCCTGAGTTCGTTTTGGGCCTACGCTAAGCGTAGGTTCATCGCAAGCGTGTGGTGAACTGTGGGTTTGTCGCATAGGAACTATGAGCTACTGGCTGATCGTGAACGTCTATGTGGTATCAATCTAATGTCTACTGTGCTCTAAGGGGCTTTGCGAGCACTATGTACCTGCATTAGCCCCATTGCTTATCGGTATGTGGTGCTTATCGATAAGCACATTGCTTTCACATCTGTTTTTAGGTCTTGTGGGAGATTAATAAGTATTTGCATGCATTGGGTCTGGGGATTTGCCTTATTTTGTGTGATTAATTGGTTTTTAATTTGGGGTTTCTGTTAGGCCCCTTGTCTATTGACAAACTGAGAATCAGTTACTTATTTGGTAATGTGTATTTGCTCGTTAGTGG